TCTCACACACACACTCTCTCTCACACACACACACACTCTCTCACACACACACTCTCTCTCTCACACACACACACTCTCTCTCTCTCTCTCTAATATGCTTGTTCTCGGTCAGAAACGTTCATCACCTCCGTTGCGACCTCTTGCTGATTAACTGTGCTGAGAAACACAGTTTAACTCTAACTAGTCCCGCAGTCTCTCTCTCTCAGTGATGTTTCTGTACTCGCTGCTGCGTCAGAAGGATGAAGATGAAGAGTTTGAGGTAGACAGACACCATTTCAGTCTGTGTTCATGGCTTTCAGTGTCTCTGCTGAAATATGTGTGTAATCCGCTCGTGTTCGCCAGGGCTGCTGAGAGCTCAGGCTGGGAGTAGAAAGGAACTCTGGGAAATTTAATAAAAAAATCCCTGGCGTTAAATCTGTCGGACTGCTGCTCGAGCTCAGTTTTAAAGGAACGGTTCACACAGAAATCATCACTTTCTTGACCTCACGTCGTTCCAGACCTGTGTGACTTTCTTTCTTCGCTGGAAAACAGAAGAAGATATTTTGAGAAATGTGTCTGTGTTTAGTGTCCATATAATGGAAGTCAATGGGGTCCAATGTTCTTTGGTTTCCAACAGAAGAAAGTCATACAGGTTTGGGAAGTCATAGGGGAGAGTAAATGATGACGGTGTTCATTTCTGGGTGAACTATTGCTTTAATTAGAGAATAATAGATGTGACATTGTGCTGATGTTCGTCTGATGAATATATTGCATGCAAAAACGGCCAGAGTTTCTCAGAATCAAGCTCAGTTTTATGTGATTTCCAGGGAATCGTGTCTAGATCTCCTGTGGCTGTTTTATAATGCTGGTCTCTCTCTGTCTATCTGGGTGGGTCTTGAGATCAGATCTATGGTAGTTTCTATGGTTATTATTGTAAACCTCATGATTAGTCCAGATGTAAATGGTAGTTTAGCAGATACGGTGGAGGAGTCACAGTCAGTCATTTCAAAAATGATGACAAAAAGAGGGTAAGATTTGTGATTGTAAGTATAAATTACATTTGCATGGGCAAGAGAGGATTGGTAAAGGTGTAAAACGCGTTTCAAGCGCAAGAAAAAAACATTTGCAGCATTTTACTGTTTTTCGTAAGTGTTGTATTGTGAACCTGCAGCTTCATGCTAACACAAAATAAATATGATCTGTATTCTTCTGACATCCATTTTTCCACGCTTACACTTCTGGCACGTGTTTCTTGCCCAAAAGCATTGAACAGCGATTCATTTCGTCTACTACACCTCTGCCGCCTCAATATATGAATACAAGAACACATAAACATAATCTCTAAAACTGCTCTGAGAGTCACTTCATGAGCATTTTACGGTTTCATTTGAGAAAAACTCATACACACACAGAAACTCGAAGGTCTTCACAGCAGCCCGTCAAAATAAAAGTTTGGTTTAACTTGAAGAAATTGTGACGGGAATATATTACTGTAATGATACTACTACTACTACTACTACTACTACTAAAATTATTATTATTAAAACAGTATTTTTAAGGAATGTTTACCAGAAAAATTATTTACCTGAAAAATGTAAATACACAATACAGTAAAAAAAAAAAAAATTCTTCTGACATCCATTTTTCCACGCTTACACTTCTGGCACGTGTTTCTTGCCCAAAAGCATTGAACAGCGATTCATTTCGTCTACTACACCTCTGCCGCCTCAATATATGAATACAAGAACACATAAACATAATCTCTAAAACTGCTCTGAGAGTCACTTCATGAGCATTTTACGGTTTCATTTGAGAAAAACTCATACACACACAGAAACTCGAAGGTCTTCACAGCAGCCCGTCAAAATAAAAGTTTGGTTTAACTTGAAGAAATTGTGACGGGAATATATTACTGTAATGATACTACTACTACTACTACTACTACTACTAAAATTATTATTATTAAAACAGTATTTTTAAGGAATGTTTACCAGAAAAATTATTTACCTGAAAAATGTAAATACACAATACAGTAAAAAAAAAAAAAAAAATTAGTTTTTTTTTTTTATAAAATCAGTCATTTAGAGATGTTTTTGATTATTAAAATTTAATGAAAGCCTTAAAATGGAATCCAGAAAATTAACGGAAAACACAGAATTTGGTAAAAATAAAACTCAATTTGAGAACAAACAAAAAATGTATAGTGCCATAGATATGTAAATAATTCATAGGGCCATTAAAATGTAAATTTGTTAAACTTTTAATAAATTGCTGTTAAATTGTGTACGTTTCACGATTTCAATTAATTAGACGTGTTTTTTGATTAATAAAGTTTAATTTAACCATTAAATCAGAGTCTAGAAAAATTAAAACAGGAAAAAAATGGAATCCAGAAAAATTAAAATGGAAAAAATTAGAATTTGGGAAAAATAAAACGGATTTCATAAGGCCCTACATTTCACTCTCCAGACAGCATTCTCTTAGTAATTTTGTTGCACCTGTGAAGTTCAATATGAATACACTGTATATTGATTTTAAGCCATTTTTGTTCCCTTTGCGCAGTGTCCTTGATTTTTGATGTAAAATCTGCGTTTAGACTGTTTCACACCAAACACGAGCAGCGCGTTTAATTCAGCACCCGTATAAACAAAGATGTACATGTTTTAATGACAGCATGAAATGCAAATTCATCCTATCTGCGTCTTAATTACCTTATTGTGAACATTTCATTCCTGGGTGTTTATGTATTTATTAATTTTTTTATTTAATGTACGTCACAATAAGGAGGAAGAGATTTGATGCTGCTTCCGTTACGTTGCAACTTTACAGTTCTTGGTCATCATTATTAGACTTAAATGTAATGTTTTCAGTGTGAAATGTTAGTCGGGGAGAGTGAGGTGTCTGAAAAGTGCTGCTGCTTCATGTTGATCCTGTTTGTCTCCTGCAGTCCCAGAAGTCCTGGATCGAACACACTTTCACCAGGAGGGAATGTGTCTATATTCTGCCCGTGTCGAAGGACCCGCACAGGTACATCATGCACTTCACGTTATTATTAAAGGCTCAATCTTTAGTGTGCATGTTTGTCCAAACTGAATCAAGTCTGAATGCCATCACAACCACATGACACATCACTTTTTGCCTGCTGTTTTATGAATTCTGAGAATTCAGGCATACTAGTCTTATGCACTTTTTCGCCTACTATATAGAATGGAAGTAGGCATATTGGACGCAGCAATGAGACAAGCACAACAGCATGACTTCATTCAGTTCTGTTTTTTTTCACGTGTGGTACTGTACTTCTGGTTTCCCTCAAATATGACTTCTGTGTGTTTTCTGCAGATGCCTCCCAGGATGCCAAATCTGCCAGCAGCTCGTGCGGTGAGTGTCATGAGACATGACATTAATACATTTCACACAATCAAGGTGTTCAGATGGAGCGTGTGCTGATGTGTGTGTGTGTGTGTGTAGATGCTGCTGCGGGCGTCTGGTCACTCGCTGCTGAACACACACACTTCTGTAGAGAGGTCACGACCCCTTGAGGGTCACGGTCACTGTAAACCGCTGACTGTGAGTGTTTTTCCACTGCGTTTCCAGGTGTGGCCAAACATGTGGGTGACGCTCTGAAGGAACATATGTCCAGATCGGCTCGGAAAATCTGTACGGTGGGAATCGCACCCTGGGGAGTGATCGAAAACAGGAACGACCTCATCGGAAGAGACGTGAGACTCATTTACACACACACAGCCCATTTATGACCTTTATTCACATGTGACCATTACTGTGAATCTCACTGAATGGCTTCATCTGACCACAAAACCAATAGTTTCTTGAACCGCAAATCAGCTTCTGTACCTTAAATCAGAAATAAATTAGCGTTTCAAATCACAAAAAGAGAGTTCCAGGGGCTTCTGTATGAAATCATGAAATCATTGTCTTATTTGTTTGTTTGTGTGTGTGTGTTCAGGTTGTAGCGCCGTACCAAACCCTGCTGAATCCTCTCAGTAAACTCAATGTGCTTAATAACTTCCACTCTCATTTCATCCTGGTGGATAATGGGACAGTCGGGAAATATGGAGCTGAAGTCAAACTCAGGAGAGAGCTGGAGAAACACATTAACCTGCAGAGAATCCATGCCCGTGAGACACACACACACACTCACACAGAGATAAACACACACCTTTGAGTCCCAAACAGTTGGTCGTAAGCATCTATTATCCTGCAGTCATTGTTTTTCGCAGCTGTTCTTCACTCTTCATTCAGACTCTTTCGCATGTTAGAATTACAGTGATGTGAGAAACTCAGAAATAACATCAATGCAAGTGTGAGGCAGTGATCAAAAAGTGACAAAATGTAATACGTAATGTAAAATGTAATTTGTGTACGCAGGCATTGGTCAGGGCGTCCCGGTCGTGGCGCTGATCTTTGAAGGAGGTCCAAACGTGATCCTGACGGTGCTGGAGTATCTTCAGGAGAGTCCGCCGGTGCCGGTGGTGGTGTGTGAGGGAACCGGACGCGCCGCTGATATACTGGCATACGTACACAAGCAGACGGAGCAGGACGGGTATACACACACACAGAGACACACACACTCTCTCACACACACACACACAGACAGAGACTCA